GAACCTTTGTGGCCCCTAGCAGATGGTAGGCACTTGGTAAAGATCTGAATAAGTGAGTTGATGGGTGGGTGGATGAGTGGATGGGTGACTGGGTGGGTAAACAGCCAACCTGCAGGATCCAGGCATTACAGGGAATGGATCCCAGTGACTTGGGGGCAGGGGGGGTGGGGGGCAGGAGGAGATACATTTGTTTATTCTTTGGAGTCCCTGGGTGGTGCAAACTGTTGATATGCTTGGCTGCTAACCGAAAGGTTGGCAGTTTGAGTCCACCACAGAGGCTCCTTGAAGATCAAGTCCTGGTGATCTACTTTTGAAAAATCAGCCATTGAAAGCCCTAGGGAGCACAGTTCTACTGTGACACACATGGGGTTGCCATGAGTTAGAATCAACTTGATGGCAACTGGGGTGGGATATTTATCCTTTGAGTCAGGTGCTAACTCTCTTATTGAATCTTAAAAATAATCTCATGATCCCCACTTTCTAGATGAAGAAACTGAGAGAAGAAGGATTTTAGAAATTTGCCCAAGGTAACCCAGCTAGTAAGTGGCAGGACTAGAATGGGAGCCTGGGTTTGACCTCAAAGCCGAGGTCTCTCCACTCTCCTACTGAGATGCCTGTGGCTCACGAAGAGACAGGGAGGCAACCCAGGAGGAGTCAACCATCTCTAGGATGCCCTTTCTCTCCAGGACAGAGGCAGAGACAGCTCTCCCAAGCTGGGCAAAGAGCCAGCCCTCCTCCCTGCCTGGCTCTGCCCCAAAGGCACGACAGATCCGGGAGGGAGTGTGGACAGGGCAGCCGGGTGCCACTTTGTTGGCCTCGGGCCCAGCCCCTGGGGGCTCCTTAGAACACAGTGAGGGAGCAGCGTTGGCCCCTGTCCCCAAGATCAGAACCTCTCCACCTCTCCCAGAGGTCCTGCTGCTTCATCTGATCCTTATTTTGAGACTGTCTCGTTTGACCTTCAGAGAGAAAGGCCAGCCTCTAGAGCTGTCCTCACCCTAGGACCCAAGAGTCCTACAGTGCCAGGTCCCCAGTTGTGCAGAGCATGCATTACACAACTCCAGGGGGACCACTCATGTTTGTAGTTATGATCATGACAGTTTTCCAGAAGATGGCAATAAGTGTCTTGAAGAAAGGGGCATTTTGTTCTACTTAAGACACAGTTGCTTTGGGGGCTTGTGAGGGACGATCCCTTCCACCTGACCCCAAGCTTCCTGCTCCTGACCCTGCCCAGGAATTCCAACAGTGTCCACAGTCCCTGACTCAAGGGGTTCCCAAAGGGAAGCCTTTGTTGTTAGAGTCCCGGCCCCTTGAAGTGTTAATGTTAGAGTGTGATAGTGGAAAAGTGCTTTCAAAAATTCTTAAGCGCTAGACAAACAGCAGACAGTCATCTATCAGCCAACAAATGTTTATTGTTGTATTATTCCTTTATTTCTGGCAAGAATGAACAACTTACTTGGCGTCTCTACCCGTGCGTCCACCAAAGCAAGGCCAGTGTTCCTAGTTCTTTAAATGTGCCCTTCTTGGGTCTCTGTCTGTGTATACTAGGGGGCAGTGTCATGGATTGAAATAGCTTGAAAACTGCTTCATCTCTCCAGCTGGCTGGCTCGCCCTCTGCTCTTAAACTTGTCTTCTCCCTCCCTACCAGGAGTCGCAGGTGTCCTTCCCCCATCCACCCCGTCCTGCTCTCTCAGGCCTGGCTATCCCCTTGGTTACTCCTGGCCCCCACCTGTCAGCGCCTTCTGCACCCAGAGCTTGGGCAGGAAATGGAAAATTCCCAGCTCCCTTGTGCTCCCTTCTGGCTGCAGGGCCTCATCCCAGGGTCACCTTGAATTGAGTGCTGGTCCCACCACAGGGAAGAAAGTTGAAGCTGTTGTCCAGGAGGAAGGGCTTGACAAGGGAGCACAAGGGCAGGGAATACAGCATGTTGGAGACCCCCATTCCAAGAGGGACTGGAGGCTGGGGGCCGGAGGGCAGGATTCTGTAGTACAGTGGGTCCAGGGGGAGCGGAGGCAGAAGCTGGGGTGAGGTGAGGGGCATGAGCCAATAGGATGAGAGTGGTGAGGAAAGGGAGCCATGAGGATGGATGGGGCAGGGTACAAAGGTCTGTGAAGGCCCTGGGGCTATGGAGAGGCTGGCTTTAGGGAGAGCCAGGCTCTAGGGAGAGCCAGGCTCTAGGACTAGGAGCCCAGTGGCCTCCTGGCTGTTAAGTCAGGCCTGGTCGACCTCTGGTGGCCACTTAGCAAACTGCAGCCAGAACCTGCTCTCCCCAGCCTGTCATCCAGCTCCCAGCTTCTGCCAAAGCCCCTGCTGGTATTCCCAATGTCCCACCTCCAGCTTCGCCTTCCTACCTCCTTGCAAGCCCTTGCTCCTTCCAAGACCCCAGAGCTAGGTTCCAAGGGTGTAATTGGCTCGTAGGGCTCTGGTTTCTATTTCTTTTGCGATGGTAACCTTTCTCATTCCTCCTCACCCCCACCATGGGAGGTGGGTCACCCTGTGGCCCAGGCCCCAGGTCATTCATCAATACAGGCTTTGTGTTAGGTGGGGGAGTGTTCAGAGTTCAGGGAAGACTATAACCATGTCAGAAACCCACTACTCCGCCCCGCACGATCACCTCCACTCCCTTTCCCACACCCCAGCTGAGAAGTGCTGAAGGAGGCCAGTGTGGGTCCCTAGGGGACGGGCTGGAGTCAGGTGGGGTCTCCTGGGGCCAGGCTCTCCTTCACCTTCACACCCGTCCCCAGCCTCTTGTCCCACAGCCCCTCCCCAGAGCCAGGCCACCAGCTGACTTCCCTCAGCTGTCCCCCTCCCCTCCACTCTGGGATTGGTGCCAGGGTGAGAAGGGGACACTGGCACTGACCGTGTCTGGGAATTCCCGCCCACCGTGGAGCTGGCGGGAGGGGGTCCCCGTGTCCCTGAGGAGCCAATAGCAGCCAGGCCTGGCCCTGGGGGGCGGTGTATATTTTTCAGACCAGCACCCCCAGCGCGCTGTCTCCTCTCTGCCTGCCTGGCATCAGCAAGGCCTCGCTCTGCCTGGGGGGCTGAGAGCCCCCCAGGCACTCCTTCTGACACAACCCTCTCTCTTTGGGTGGCCCAGGGACCCTTTCCCATCAGGGATGGCCCAGCCGGGAATCTCTGTCAAGTCCCTGGTATCATCCTATGAGACCCAAGTGGTAGGGATGGCTCCAGGGCCACCCCGAAAAAGGGGCTGTGTCTCCTCCCCTTGCTCCCCTCGGGGAGCATCCCCTATCCGAGGGGCATCTGGACCCCAACCCCACTGGGGCCTTGGGGGACCCGGGCAGCAGCCCTCACCCCGCCGGGGGATGGACAAAACGCTCCTCTCCCTGATTCTCTACTGTCACAGGTACGGGTAGGGGCGTGGGCGGGAGGCTGCAGTGAAGGAGGCCTGGTGGAGGCCAGAGACTGCCCTGAGAAGCCCCTGGGTAGGCAGCGGGCTGAGGTGTCCTGGCCTGGCGTGGTGCCTGCTCCTTCTCCTCATCTCTCACCTCCCCGTGTCTCTCCAGTGGTTCCGGAAGCCTGGTTGGCATTGACAACAAGATCGAACAAGCCATGGTAAGAGAAGACATCCTCGTCCCAGGAGGTCCGGGTTCCGCGTGTGGACGCTCAGGCACCTGCCCTCTTTAGCTGTCTCTCTGCTCCACCCCTGCTCTCTTCATTACTAGGGAATTATTAATTACCAGCTCCTCAGTCTGCTTCCAGCTGGATCCCATTGGGTCCTTTGCACCTGAACCCCTGACTTCCCTTGATCTTGACCTGGCCCCTGGCCCCCCCATCTCTGCCCTTGAGCCCTGACTCTGCCTCTGTTCCTGCATCCTTTCCCCCCTGCCCTTTTCCTGCTTTGCTTCTTCCCCAGTGGTCCCTTCATCATTTGGGAGCAGGAAGTCTCTCACACCCAGGCCCTGAAGGCACTGGGCAGGGGATGAGGTTGGGGTGGCCTGGGGCCCGACGCTGTGCCTGTCCCTGGGTCCCCAGGACTTGGTGAAGTCCCACCTCATGTTTGCGGTCCGGGAGGAGGTGGAGGTGCTGAAGGAGCAGATCCGGGAGCTGGCCGAGCGGAATGCCGCGCTGGAGCAGGAGAATGGACTGCTGCGTGCCCTGGCCAGCCCCGAGCAGCTGGCCCAGCTGCCCTCCTCAGGAGTCCCACGGCTCGGGCCCCCTGCGCCCAATGGGCCCTCCACCTGAGCAGCCTCCCTTCCCTCACAATGTGCCTTTGGGGGCTGCCACGGCCGCCAGGCCTTGCGCCAGCTGCCTGCCCCCTATTCCTATGCAGCTTTAATGTCTCCTGATCCCTGGGGATGGGAGTTCAAGGCTCAGTATTGGCCTGTCCCTTAACCCTACCCCCATCTTCCCATAGTCCCCAGGGTCTGGGCTAGGGTGTCCGTAGGCCTTGATGGAAGTGGGAGGGCTACAGGATGGGGTGTCCGATGGAGCCCTCCTCCATGCGGGATCCCCCCTCCCCTTTCGCCTTCCTTTGGTGTCAGTGTTCTGGGACCCCCAGCAGGAGATGGCTTGGGGGAGTCGGAGGCTCCCTGGCGGACACCCACCCCCTACTTTGCTCCCGAGCAGTGCCGCCTCTCCTTGGCCCGGGGGAGGGAGTATGGACAGTTTGCGGAAGTCTGGGATTCAGGTTGTTATTAACATAATAATTATAATTAAAAAATCTGAAGAAACTTGAATTTGGGGGCTGGCATCTCTTTGCTTGTGTCAAGACTGGGGTCCTGTGCCGGTAGTTCCCTCTCGCAGGAGAAAAGACGGAGTCTGTGAGCCCCCCTGGAGGGTCTGTCCGAACTGGGAAGGTTTAATGTGGCTGGTGGAGATGGAGATGCAGGCACAGAGAGCCAGCAGCTCGGGTCCTGGGAAGAGACGGGAGGGTTCCTGCCCACGTGCTGGGGGGGAGAGGGAAACAATGAAGCCTTTGGTGATTGTGCAGGATCCACCCCCAGATTCCCAGCGTGTCCCCTCTGCGGGCTGGATCCGGGTGGCTGCTTGGGGGCGGGGCAAGGGACCCTGAATAGGCCTCTTGTCTCAGGGCTGGGTGTAGGCCAGGCTCCCCGGGCACACGGTGCCCTCCCCAGGCCTGGCTGGCCGCTGTGGCTTCCACCCTCAGTTGGCTGAGGACAGGCCCTGTGGGTGAGCAGACCCCTCCCTGGAGGGCCTCGGCTCCAGTCCCAGGACCTCCTTGGTCTCCTCTTTACCTAGGTGGCAGTAGAGGCAGGTAGGTAGAAGGACCACATCTAGTGGGGAACGGGAGGAAAGCAGCAGCTCAGCCCTAGAAGGACGCTGGGAAGGTGCAGAAGAGGCCCAGACAGGAGGGAACTCAGGCAAAGCTGGACCCCTGGAGATAGACCTGGGTTGTAATCCCCGCTGTATAGCTCCCTAGATTTATGACCTGGAACAGGTTTTTTTGGTTTTTCCAAGTCTCGGATTCCTTATCAGTATGATGACATTGACAATGATACCTACCATGAAAGGCTGTTGTGAGGATTACATGACCTGATATATGGAAAATGTCTAGCACATAACAGACACTCAGTGATGTTAGTTTCTCTTCCCTGAATTTGGGGAAAGAAGAGCGAAGGGCATAAGGGATTGGCTTCCTGGATCCTGAAAGGGCCTCGGGGGTTGGGGTCAAGGCCAGGGAGGCTCTCACAATGGGCTAGAACTCTCCCTCACTCTAGGTTCTCATCCACTTTTGACTCCTCTCCCTGTCCCAGGGAGGGGAGGAAAGGCCTAGGATGAGTCGTTGGAGGAAGATCTCCCCCGGATTCCCTATTTCTTTCTTCACTGCTGTGCTTGAAGCTCCTCAGTTCATACAAGACCATTTGGGTGGTAGCCACTGACCTGAAGTCTGTCCACCGCCTGAATCAACTGCTGGCTCTGCCCCCTACTTTGGGGTCATCATATCAGGAGAGATGGCTGTGGTCGTGAAATTCTTCCGATGGGTTTGGCGAAAGGTTTCTTGCTGGGTGAGTTTCAGAGACTCCCTTGTCCTCATGACATGCTGGGATGAGAGGTGCTGGTCACTGACCCCTCGGTCACAGCAGCTTCCCCTCCCCCCACCTGCCCTCCCTTCCCTCCTTGCCTCCTGTGGCCAAATAAGACCCAGAGGGAGGAGGATATGGACAGTTGGGGTGTTGAGGGGAAGAAGGCCATGAAACTCACTCCCCCATCCTCAAGTCTCTTTGTGTCTTCCTTTCTTTTGACTGATGTCTCTGCTCTTCATATCTTGGTTCTTAGATTTTGTCTTGGAGAAAGAAAGCTAAGTTGTCCATCCAGGAACACCCTGACTCCATGAAAAATGTGTTGAAAAGGATGGAGAAGCCCCTGAAAATGGCTGAGCCTTCCAAGATGGTTGAGACCCCCAAAGAGATCAAGCCCCCCAAAGAGGCTAAGCCCCTCGAGGAGGCTAATCCCCCCAAGATGGATGAGTTCTTCAAGATGGAAGAGTTCTCCAACATGGATGAATCCCTCAGAGCGTCTGAGTCCTGTGTGTTGGCCGAGACGACAGATGGAATGGAGCTGGGCCATACGGGCCGATCCCTGTTGCGGCTGCCCCAGACGGCCATCCAGTCTGTCTCCACGCTCATGGTCTCAGCTCTGCAGAGTGGCTTGCACATGTGCTCCTGGAAGGTCAGCACCATCCCCTTTGTTCCCAACAGTTCCCTTCCCCAATCCCCAACGACTCATTCCTTACTCCATTCACTTGTTGAACAATTATTTCCGGTGTCTCTACTAAGTGCCAAGTATTGAGGCAGGCACTAAGGATACAAGAGTGAGCAAGAGTTACCCAGTCTAAGGGGGCTACAGACAAGATAACAGACATTGTTGGTGTGGTGTCATAAGAGTGTGACACAGGAGGTACAGGAGGCTGTTGGAGCCCAGAGTTAGGCATCTGATCCAGACCTGGAAAGTCAAGGAAGGCGTCCCTAACAGAAGAGAGGGTAGAGCTGAGACCTGAAAGAATTAGCCTGGAGTGGAGGGGTGGGAGGAGCTGTTTGTGAAAAGAGAAAAGCAGGTGTGTGTGTGTAGGGGGGTGGGGGCTGGCCCAAGGTGTATGGGTCAGAGTGGAAGCAATCCCGGAGCCAAGGGCGGCTTGTACAAGGCAGGGTGGGTAGGCCAAATTATGGAGTTTGTATTTTACCCTAAGAGCAATGGGAGCCCTTGAAAACATTTGAGCAGAGGAGTGACTGATCAGATTTGATTTAGAAAGTTCACCTGTACTCCTACATTGCTAGTGGGAATGTAACACGGTGCAGTCACTCTGAAAAACAGTTTGGTAGTTTCTTGTAAAACTAAACACGCAGCTACCATATGACTCAGCAATTGTACTCTTGGGCATTTATCCCAGATAGATGACAACTTATGTTTACACAAAAATCCGAATACAAATGTTCTTAGCAGCTTTATTCGTAATAGCCGAAAACAACTCAAATGTCCCTCAAGATGATGAATGGGTAAATCAGGAAAAAGTCTGGTACATCCATACCATGGAGTACCACTCAGCAATAAAAAGGAACGAACCATTGATACATGCAACAACTCGGATGAATCTCAAGGGTATTATCCTGAGTGAAAACAACCAATCCCAAAAGGTTACATACTCTATGGTTCTATTTATATAACATTCTTGAAATGTCAAAATCATAGGAATGGAGAACAGGGGTTGGGGTGGATGGATGTGGTTATAAAGGGGCAACAGGATAGAATCCTGTGATGATGTTCTGTATCTTGACTGTTGTGGTTGGATACACGAGCCTGCGCATGTAATAAAATAGATAAGCACATACAAATGAGTACAATTAAAACTGGGAAACCTGAATAAGATCAGCGGATTGTATCAATGTCAATGTCCTGACTATGATACTGTACTATAGTTTTGTAAGATTTTACCATTGGGGAAAAGTTAGTAAAAGTTACACAAAATCTGTGAATTATTTCTTACAACTGCTTGTGAATCTACAATTATCTCAAAATAAAAAGTTTAAATGTCTAGGTCACTACCAAATCAACTTATTTTGGCCTTGCATAAAGTATTACTGCTTTAAACTTAAAAACTCATCTGGCTGCCCTGTGGAGGAGGCTCAGAAGGGGACAAGAAGAGAGGCGGGAAGATCCATTGGAAGCTGTTGCAGTCCAGGCTAAGAAATAAGGGTGGCTGGACTGGGGGAAAGGCATCGGGTAGAACAGGTTATGGATCTCAGCAATATTTAGGAGGTGGAATTGATGGGCTAAGTGGTTGATTAGATAGGGGTAATGGGAAGAAGGAGAAGGACGGAAGTCAGGGTAGGCTGGAGCCATTCACTGGGGTGGAGAATGGACAAAGAGCAGACTTAGGGGAGAAGGTAACGAGTTTAGGGCATTGGGGCAAGATGACTTGAGATGCTGGTAGGACATCTGGGTGGAGATGTCCTAGAGCCCATGGGATAAACAGATCTGGAGGTCAGGAGAGAGGTTGGGGTGTCATTCTCTCCTTCATTTTAACACACTCTCCATGAAGTCCTGAGCAGGGACTCAAAGGTGGATCAGACATGGTCCCTGTTTTCCAGGAGCTTGCATTCTAGGGGAGAAAGCAGACGAGTCCATGGAACCAATAGTGTATGAGATGTGGCATGACAGGAAAAACAGGAGAGTAGAGGCCACCTAATGCAGCCTGAGAAGGCTTCCTGGAGAAAGCAGTGCCTGAGCGGAGCTTGATGGAGGAGATGGAATCACACTGGCCCTTTCCTGTTTATCTGTAGGTTATTCCGTCAAGCGGTTTCTCCCCGGCCCAAGCTACTTACACGTACACTCTTCTCTCTTGTTTATAGTCATCCGTGAGTTCTGCCTCAGTTACCTCCCAGCTAAGGACCGGGCCCCCTTTGGAGTTGCCGGAGGCTGAGATGCTGCGAGAAGTGTACCTGGTGCTGTGGGCCATTCGGAAACAACTGCGGCAGCTGGCCCGCAGGCAGGAGAGACGGCGACGGCGCCACATCCGGGCCCACGCAAGCCCCCAACCTGACCCAGTTAAGGGCCTGAAACAGGATGCCCGAAGTCCCCTCTAGGGGCCACCCCCAGATCCTCAGAAAGCCCCCACCTCACTCTCAGGTGAGGTTGATAGGAGGGGTCAGGGCAGCAGGCCAGGAGATGTGGGTGAGGAGTTTTCATGTCTCCTCTGATTGGGAGCCCAGGGACAGGCCTGGGGTCCCACATACTCCCCTTCATTCCATTTATTCAATTTGTAAAAAATTATAAAAAATATTGGGAAATAAATACCAGATATTTCTGAGTAGATCTGGAGTGTGTTTGTGGATGGCCAGAGACAATGAGGGGAGCTCTGGTGGGTCAAGGAATGGGACAGGGAAGAGCACCTGAGGTGGGGACCCAACTCTGTGGAAGTCATCTGTGGGCCTGGGGAAGGGGCAGGATCAACAGGTTCCAGCTCTGGGCCCCCACACACTCCCAGGGGCTGAATTGCCTTTGGCAGCTCTGCCAGGCCGGTAACTATAGCAACCAAACAAAAACACCAAACCAGTTGCCTTTGAGTAGATTAGGACTCATGCCCCCCCCCAACTTGTGTCAGCATAGAACTGTGCTCCATAGGGTTTTCAGTGGCTGATTTTTCAGAAGTAGATGGTTAGGCCTTTCTTCCAAGGTTCCTCTGGGTGGACTCCAACCTCAAATCTTTTGGTTAATACCCACTAAAAAAAAACCCACTGCTCCAGTCGATTCTGACTCATAGCGACCCCACAGAGTTTCCAAGGCTGTAAATCTTTACGGAAAACGACTGCCACATCTTTCTCCTGCTTCTCCTGCGGAGCCGCGGATGGTTTCACCTTTCAGTTAGGTTCGCAGTCGAGCGCTTTAATCACTGCACCACTAGGGCTCCGAAAGGTTAGTACCAGCACCCTTTTATTGAGGACCTGCTGTGTATAAAGTCCCTAGCCAGCGGCTCTCTCTAAGAATCCTGCAAGGAAGGTATTTACAATGGGTCACTTAAGACTGGGAAAATTACGTGACTTATCCAAGGCCTTGCAACTAATGAGGCCTCGCTGGAAACTGTCAGCTTTCAAAAGTCAGCCCACTGCTCTGTGTCTCCTGTCCTCTTGGGCTTGCTCGTGTCAAGGATCAGTGCGTCTGAAGACGCATATCAGGGTCGTCCGAGAGGTATGTATGTGTCAGGACCGAACTCACACTCTGCTAGCCCTCGCCTCTTCCTTGAACGTTCCGGGGAGACCTCTCATCGCGGGCTCCGGGGGTGTTGGGGGTGTGTGGAGGGAGGGGCGGAAGGGGCGGGGCTTTGGCTGCCCTCCCCCCCCCACCTGGGGGAGGGTACCCGGCCTTGCGCGCCGCTGGACAAATGCCAGACGCCAGGCTGTGGCGATTTGGAGGGGATGGGGAGTGGGCAAAAGAGAATGACTGCGGCGCCGCGAGTCCCCTCTGCGGTTCAGCCCGCTGGGCCACGGGAAGTTGCAGAGGTGGCTCCCCAAGAAAAAACAGGAATATTTAACGAGAAATTTCACTGGCAGCAAAATTCGAGGATTTGACAGTTCACGGGGCTTAGAGGTGGTGGGGGTAGAGAAGGAGGTGGGAGTAGAGAAGGAGGTGGGGGTAGGGAAGGAGGAAGGGATGGCAGCAGGGCCCCTAACTTAAGGGGCTGGAGGCAGGGCAGCAGAGGCCTCTGGGTAGGGGAGAGGGCAGAGGGCAGATAACTGCTCAAAGAGAAGATAAATTGCTCAAAGACAAGTTAGTTGTGAGCAGCAGGCGGTGGCGTGAGCAAAGCAAGGGTGTAGTGATGGAGCTACAGGGATGGTTGGCTGGAAGCAAGCAGTTCCCTAGAAAAGTCAGCCAAAATCCCCGCTTAAGGCTCTGCAGTTCTGAGAGAGTTGGCCCCATTGCTGGGAATCCAGACGGCCTTTCCCAGGAGTCCCAAACAGCACAGCTGCCTCTCCCTACAGCTCGGCTACCCTGAGCCTAGGAGGAAAGGCCTGAGTTTATAAGCTATCTGCCCCTCAATACTTACAACCACACTGTTATCACCCACCACTTACTAAGCACCCACTATGGCTATTTTTCGTTTTAAGGAACCCTGGTGGCACAGTAGTTAAAGCTCTCAGCTGCTAACCAAAAGCTCAGAGGTTTGAATCCACCAGGGACTCTATGGAAGAAAGATGCGGCAGTCTCCTTCCATAAAGATTACAACCTTGGAAACCCTATGAGGCAGTTCTACTCTGTCCTATAGGGTTGCTATGAGTCAGAAACAAAGGCACATAGCAACAACATGATTATTTGTAAGTCTTATCCTATGTAATTCTCAAGAGCTTTATGATGAAGTATCGCTTCCATTTTTCAGGGGAAAAAACTGAGGGACAGAAAGATCATGTTTAAGGTCATGTAGTTTTTATTCATCCAGCTAATGAGTCTAGTTCACACAGGACACGTTACATAGGAGGTATTCAACAGATGAATGAAGTGACTTCACTGGGAATCGGTTCTGGGTTTAGCCTAAAGTCAAAGCCTGTTTTCAGGTGGGCCACAAAACAGACTAATGTACAGTGGCTCGTTTCTGGAGCTTTCACTCACCAATTATTCATCAAGTCCCCATTCTGTACCAGGAACTGTGTTGGGACTAAACAGCATTGGTGCAGTGTTTGTGCCCCAGGAAGCTCCGCGGTTTAATGGGTCACAGGGCTTTGGAGTGGTGCCTCTCTAAGATCCAGATTCAGCCCCTCCAAGTCCTTAGAGACCAGCTCCTCTTCCTCCTGGGGGCCTAAGGTTTCAGTGAGAGGAGGGTACGGTAGGGTGAAGGTTGGGCTTCTGAGGGTCACTAGTAAATAGCCTTGCAAGTAGCTACAGGCCCAGGCACCAATCCTGGCTTGAGACTGTGGGCTTGTGGAATACTGCTCTCATTTTTCTTTGGCTTCTTGAGCGTCTTGGGAGTGGGAAATGGGGAAAGGAAGAAGATGAGTTCAGCCAGCAGCCAAGGGAGCTGCTCACACATCTCACCCCCGCTTTTCTTCCCCAGACATGGAGTCCTGTCTGGGCTTGGCCTAGAGGGGGCAGGGAGATTTCTGGGAGAGAAAGGAGAGAAGGTAAAAGGGGAAGGAAGGTCCATAGAACTTTCTTTTCCCACAGATCTCAGTATACCCAGGCAGCCTCTGTCTTCCCCCATTCTAAGTAATTCAGCCCAGAGCCCTGGAGAAGGATTGTAGTGAGACCTGAGGAGGAACTTCCCAACTTGGAGGAAGAAGTATGTGGAATCTCCTTTGGTGGGGATTTAAGGAGTGGGGTGGGGATTAATACCCACCCCAGCTCTCTGCTGGTGGGGAGCAGTGGGAGAGGCAACAAAGTGACCCCTGGGCAGAAAAAAGTCTGCTTCCTGATGACAGTGTTGAGAAAAAATCCTACCTCAGATACCATCCCTCCCTTCCAGATCAGACCCTAGGCATTCCCCCTTTCCCTCCCCCAAGGCTGCCTGACTTCATAAGACAAAAGTGGTAGGGCTATGGGTGGGCCTAGCTAGGAAGGGTCTCTCTTTATTTTTAAAGACTACCTATTCTATTAGAGAGGGGTCCCTGGGAGTGAAGGGTGCAAAGTGAGAGTGCTGGTCCCAGATCGTCTCTAGCTTCTCCCCAGTCCTGCCCCACCTACCCCTCCTCCTCCATTGATCATCAGATTGCCTGAAAATTTCAAATCTTGTCTCTTGCTTCTTCCCTGGGACCCCTACAATCCATTGACCACACAGCAAAACATGTCACTCTCTTGCTTAAACCCTCTGTCTTAGTTATCTAGGGCTGCTCTAACAGAAATACCACCAGTGGTGGCTTTAACAAACAGAAATTTATTTTCTCACAGTTTATGAGGCTAGAAGTCTGAATTCAGGGAGCCAGCTTCAGGGGAAGGCTTTCTGTCTGTCAGCTCTGAAGGAAGGCCCTTGTCTCTTTTGAGCTTCTGTTCCTGGGCAATCTTCATTTGGCTTGACATCTCTCTTCCCCCATCTCTGTTTTCCTTGATTGTTTGTTTAATCTCATATATCAAAAGAGATTGGTTTAAGACACACACTACACTAATCCTGTCTCATTAACATAACAAAGACAACCCATTCCCAAATGGGATTATAACCACAGGCATAGAGGTTAGGATTTACAACACATATTTTCTGGGGACACGATTCAAACCATAACACTCTCCAATGGCTTCCCATTGTCTTTGGGAAAAAACCTAATCTGTTCCCTTTGTCTAAAATGCTCCTTGCCAGTCTGGATCTTTTTTTTTTTTTAATTGTGCTTTAGGTGAAAGTTTACAGAGCAAATTAGTTTGTCATTAAACAATTAATACACATACTGTTTTGTGGCATTGGTAGCCAACCTCACAACATGTCAACATTCTCCCCTTCTTGCCCTTGGGTTCCCCATTTCCTTTCTTCCAGCTTTCCTGTCCCCTCCTGCTTTCTCATCCTTGCCCCTGGGCTGGTGTGCCCATTTAGTCTTGTATGCATCGTTGAACTACCTGTGTTATTGTTTATTGTATAGGCCCGTCTAATCTTTGGCTGAAGGGCAAACCTCAGGAGTGACTTCAGTACTGAGTTAAAAGGGTGTCCGGGGGCCATATTCTCGGCCAGTTTGGATTCTGTTCAAATGTCACTACTTCGTGGAGTCCTTCCCCAACCACTGGCCAGAGTTCAAAAGAATCCCATACAAAGCTAAGAAGTGTCCTGAATACAGTCAAACACTTTCAGGGACAGAGTAGGCAGGGTAGGGGGTCTGGGGACCATGCTTTCAGAGGACATCTAGGTCAACTGGCATAACAAACCTTATTAAGAAAATGTTCTGCATCCTACTTTGGTGAGTGGCATCTGGGGTCTTAAAAGCTTGCAAGCGGCCATTTAAGATGCATCAATTGGTCC